GCTGGTTGAGCTGGGAGGAGGGATGGCTTCGGGGTCACCCAGCAACAGCTCAGGGGATGGAGGGGATGCAGTGGACTCTTCACAGTATTCTGTGGTGGGAGGGAGTGTTGGAGACAACTGGGACATGCTGAAACAGGGGAAATTGAAACTAACTGTAAGGAAGAAATGTTTTCCTCACAAGGACAGTCCAGCACTGGAGTCAGGGTCTATACAGGCTGTGCCATAACCAGCCTTGGAGGTTATCAAGCCCCAGCTGGATAAAGCCCTGAGTAATCTGATCTGAGCTCAAAGCTGGCTGTGTTTTGGCCAGGGTTTGGACTGGATATGTCCTGTGGTGCCTTCCTAACTTGAGTTATCCTGTTATCCTGTATATGACAGAAAAAAAGTGTGCATGGCACACAACTTTGTTTTGAGACAGTAACTATAATATACAGACATATCAAGAGTATGAACTTTTATTCAAGTCAGGATTGAACTGTGGAAATATGATGCATGATGCTCTTATAAAATAAACTTTAAAGTTTATTTGGAATTATTATTTGGAATAATAATAGTAATAGTAGTAATAATAATAATTTCATTTCTACCTGTATATACCAGAAACCAGACAATTATGTATCTGGACTTGGGTAAGAAGTAACAAATCAAGTTGGAATCTGATCACTCACACTTTCACCTTTTCTTACTGTGTAACTTTTCCTGAGTAGCACTGGGCATGCATGTTGTGGTCTTGCTCTGAGATGTTGGTCTGCCCTTTGGTGGTGCTTTAAATGCTTCTTTTTTAATATGAAGTAGTAGAGAAAAATTCTTAAACTTCCAACTTTTTCTTCATGTTGCATGAGAAATATATGGATATATTTATTTTTTCTTCTTTACAGTCAGGAAGGTCTTTTAACCTTCAGCAAAGAGTTAGTTGCAGTAGTAATCAAACTCTGATTTCTCTATTGTGAAGACAGAGTCATCCATCAAGTCCTGTGTGAAAGAGTGCTTACAGAGCACTTTCTCATATATGTTTGATTACTGGAGCACAGCTGCTGTTCTGGGTAATTAATATGAGACTATAATATTGTTCCGATAGGTGCTGTGTCTATATTTCCAAGGTTGGATGACCTCTCTTGCTTATATTCTCTTCTGTCTGTGGCATTTTATGTGGGTTATTGATTTTTTTTTGCTTGCAGGAAATAAAGTGCTTTTTGAAAGTCTGGTGAGAAAAATCAGGCAGACCTTGTACTTGCTTGAGGGAAATGCTGCTGAGAATAAAAGGTGTGGATTTTAGTAGTCTTCCAGCTACCGTGTATGAAAAGAGATTTAGTACTTCTGACCCTCAATCTTAATAGGTGTTCTTTAAATTACTGTCCTGAAAACTGATTGTTAAACAGTAAAATAAATGCTCTTGGTTTAGAAGCTTACTTTTCATTGAAGGTGACAGGGGCGTAGGTGACTTAAGGACATTTATTCAGATCTACAATTTTCTAAGTAAACTTATTTTCTAATGATTAAATTTTTTTTTAGATTTAAAAATAAATAATATTTTATTGTTTGCAAAATTAAAAATTTAGTTTAATTTAATTTATAGGAGGAAAGGCAAACAGAAGAGAACCTTTTTCAATAAAAAGTTTTAAGTAAAGCGTAGCGTTTTCTCCTCCTCCCTTCAAAAGACACAACTTTGAAAATTTTAGGATATCAATATTTGAAATTAAACTGAGAGAATTCTTCGACCAAGGACAATTTTGCAAGTGGGAATTTGGACTTGCGCTTTGCAAAAGGAAAATGCTGGGTCTCTTAGGTGGTACTTAGCAATATTTTTGTATGGTTCGTAGTTTGTTTCTCACAGCTAGACATGTCAGTGGTCCTGCCTGTCCATAGAATGCATGATGTTGCAATCTTGTAGTAAGAATTCTAAATTGGGATGACAAGTTTTGAGCTGTTATCAGAACTTTTATTGTCTTAAGCATTGTGGCATTTGATACTTGAGTAATTTGACTTTTTTGACTTGAGATATCTTAATGTGGTTGATTTTTTGCCTTCTCTTCTAAAAACATAACTCAGCTAAGGATGTGTCAGGATACATGTGATAAGATTTCAAAAAATTGATCATCATCTTGTGTTTACGTGTGACTTCATTTCTTTCAACTAGCACTACCCTTTTTCTGTGGGTGACCAATGACACTTAGATGTGAGTTAGGGCTACTTTGAATGCAACAAATTTAAGGCACATTTTTTAAACAGTCCTCTACTTTAGCCTAATTCTGTCTATGTACAAAAGAGTGGAAATTTTATAACTGACTTGGTTGAAAGCAGGCAATGTTAATAAAACTTCCCAGTCTGACCATTCATGAGGCTCTCTGGCTGTCACACTCCCACCACCAGAGACTTTCACTGCTGGCACCAAAGCCCCTTTGCAGTGGGTGGCTCCAGTGACCTGATAGGTCCCCACTTGACTCCCCACCCATTCTTACTTAATTAGACCAGATTTCCTTACTGATTTCTCCCCAGGTTTCCCACAGCAGAGACTCAGATGTCTCATTCCATAGAGCCACTTATTCATGGTGCAGTAACACACAAACAGTCGGACCTGGGGCTTCCAAGGAGGGACCCCTAACAAAGAAACCCCTGGGCTTTTATCCCCTGACAGTCCAAGCGCATGGAAGTCTCACTCTGGCTCCTGAGTCTTTAGTTCCTGCTGTGTCTCTGAGTGTCCATCCACCTGGCCGGTGCTACTGGTGCTCTTTTCTATGCAAAGGCTTGGCAATTCGTGACTCTTGCCTGTGGCTCCTGCCACCCAGAGCTCCACCTACATCTCACTCTGCAAGCTGAAGACAGAGCTGCCTACACTAAATGTATTCCTCAATAGTAATCCTCCTTGGGAAGGACTTTTCAAAGGACTGTTATGCCTTGGCATCTTCACTCTTTTTTTTGTGTGCTAAAAATGTAAATCTCTCCAGTATTAGTGTTCTTGCTTACTTAAATAACATATCATATGCTGCAGGGAGGAGAGTGTTTGGTTTGTTAGTTCTGGTGCACACCTGCATACACACTTCTGTTATGTCCATTCTCTCTAACTTCTTGAAAGTCTTACTTGGACAAGACCTTGTCTTGTCATGGAAGCCTTTTTACTAACACATCTTCCTTAACTGGAAAAAGCAAACTGAGTTTTTTTTAGTTATTTTGAAAAACAGTTAGGTTGTGTAGAACATCCTTATCTGCTTAGCTAATGGGATTGATTAGCTATTATTTTACAAGTGCATTTTTTATATACTATATTTTCTTCATTGTGATGAGAATGGGAAAGACAAGTCTTAGAGGTTAAACACAGCACACTAGGTTTGTGAAAGCTGTGTATCAGCAGTTTCTGAAAATGAAAAAGTCTGTCTGGAATCAGGGCCAAGATGCATTTTAGGTTTGTTGTGGTTTGTTTGTTTGTTTGGGAGGGTTTGTGTGTTTGTTTTGTAGTTTTTGTGTTTTGTTGTTGTTGTTTGGTTTGGTCTGGATTTGCTTTTGGTTTGTTTGTTTCTTTCTTTTGGTTTTGGTTCTTTGGGGTTTTTTAGAAAGGACTCCTAAGTTTATAAGGCTAAAACATTAGGTGTAACAAAGACAACAAGTGTTCACTGAGCTGGAAGTTGTACCCTTTGGATTTCCCATGGAAGTGTAGTTCAAGTGGCTCACACCTAGCCTTGCATACCTTTCAACTTTTCTAATAGAGGGCAACTGAAATTACTTTTGCTTTCTCATCACAGGAAGTTATTCTCACTAGCTCTTCTGCACAGACATCATTTAGTCAGCAAAGTGCCACCTGAGCCTTCCTGCCTCTGTTTACTAGATTTGATTCAAGTTCTATTTCACATTCACATTAATTTTTTTAGTTGGTAATTGACACATGCTTTTATGGATCCTTCAAGTTACAAGTCTTCCAATAGGTACCTTTTCTTTAGTACTTAGCAATAAGTCACAGGCTAGAGCTGTATTTTACCTATAGATATGTGGTTTTAAAAGCATATAGTGTGTCCTTTTCATGACACTGCATTTTAAAAACATAGGGCAAGGTTCAAAATAGCTGAAGATGTTACATAAAAGTGACACTTTAAGAGCTAGATCATCCTGCTTGCCCTGTGAAACTTGTAGAAGCTAATTTGTATTCTTACAGTTAACCTGTTTCTTGCCTTCTTTTTTCTTATTGGCAGACCTCTCTGGTAATTTTGTATCTTGAAATCTTTTTTACTTGAAGTCAGCAAAGCTAAGATGCCTCACTAGTCTCAATGTGTCATGGTTATGAATATTAGTAAAGTGTTCTCCATGTTTTAGGAAAAAAGCCATTTTAACTGATTATGTATAGATTCCACAAAGATAGCTGTGTTCTATCTAGTTGTCATGTGCTTCTCTTGCAAGAAGAAACAAGTGTTTCAGATAACCTGAGAGTGCACTTTTATTTCTATTGATTTTTCAAAAGTGCATAGGGTGATTAGCTCAGGTGTCTTAGCTAAGATACCAAGACACTGAAGAATTGTCGAATGCATAGTTGTCCTGTATCTGAGCAATTGCAGGCTCCTGTGACAGGACTAAATCTGTTATTTTACATTACAACCTCTTTCCTTTGCTCTGAGTCAGTGAGCTACAGGGAGAGTGCTGGAGCAAAGGTGAAATACTTCTGTTGTATCTCTGCCATGGTGGAGCTCCTGGCAAAAGTTAGCTTTTCTAATATACACCTTCCAGCATCATTGAAATGCCACTGCCAAGAGTTGCGTGGAAATGATTCTTCCACCCGGAATTTGTCCACAGAAGTGAGAAGTTCAGTCCCCAGGAGTATTGTTTCTGGTTGCTGCTGTTGGAAGTATTTGCATGGGAGATAATACTGTTGTGCTGGCTGTTGTCTTACTGCAGAGCTGACCAAGTCAAATGTTTGTCTTTTCGGGAAGGAAGGGTGTCTTTGTTGCTTCTGCTTATTGATTCCAGGTTTTTTTTAAGAGTAATGTCGGAGATATTTTTTGTTTGTTTCTTTCCAGCTGTGATAGACAAAATGTCAGTAGAATAAGTGACCTACCCTACAGAACTTGCCATGAACCATTTGGTTGGACCACCTGAGGGGGAGGTCAGTGAAGAGCCAGCGAATGGAGCAGTGAATGAGTCAGTGGAGGCTGATTTGGAGCACTCAGAAGTGGAAGAGGAGCAGAGGTATGTGACTCACTACCCAAGGCATACAAACAGCATCCAAGCAAGCCTGTCTGGGCAGGAGGAGGAAGGGATGTTAGCTCGGTCAGCCAGCACGGAGAGTGGTTTCCACAATCACACGGATACTGCAGAAGGGGATGTGATAGCCACAGTGGAGGACAGTTACGACACAGAGAGGGTGCAGGAGAATGAGGATGAGAGCGCGTATGCAGTGCAGTACAGGCCAGAGTCTGAGGAGTACACGGAGAACGCTGAGGCTGAGCATGGCGAGGCCATTCATAACCGAACATTGCCCAATCACTTACACTTCCATTCCATTGAGCACGAGGAAGCCATGAATGCGGCCTACTCAGGTTATGTCTACACACATCGTCTCTTCCACCGAGGAGAGGATGAGCAGTATGCTGAGGCTTACGCTGACTACGGACTGCAGGAGCATGTATATGAGGAAATAGGAGATACACCAGACCTCGATGTTAGGGAGGGGATCCAACAGTATGAGCGGGAAAGGGAGGAAGCCGACAATTACCGTAAGGAGGCACTTGGTGCCCGCCTTCACCACTACGATGAGCGGTCGGATGGAGAGTCTGACAGCCCTGAAAAGGAAGCAGAATTTGCACCCTACCCAAGAATGGATAGCTATGAACAGGAGGAGGACATTGATCAGATTGTAGCAGAGGTGAAGCAGAGCATGAGCTCCCAGAGCTTAGACAAGGCAGCTGAAGACATGCCAGAGTCAGAGCAGAGTTTGGAGCATGGTCAGGCTCTTGTCAGTGGTGGGCATGAAAGTAATGGCCAGCTCACATCTGGTTCTCGAGTTACATCCAGCTCAGGAGAATCTGTACAGAGGTACAGCAAGGAAAAGAGAGATGCAATTTCACTGGCCATCAAGGATATTAAAGAGGCTATTGAGGAAGTGAAGACAAGGACCATCCGTTCTCCATATACCCCTGATGAACCTAAGGAGCCTATCTGGGTGATGCGGCAGGACATCAGTCCATCCAGAGATTCTGACGACCAGAGACCACTAGATGGAGATGTGAGTATACAAAGCTTTTGGCTCTCAGATTGTGTATGTCTCATTCCTTTAATTGTGACATGCACGACAGTGAAGAAGGGTGCATGTGTTGTTCTGTGTCTCATTCTTGAGAAAGTATGTGGTGCTTTGTTTTAAATTTCTACTCTAGAGAGCACGAGAGAAATAACCACATGCATTATCTGGTAGCCAAACCTTTCTTTATTAAACACTGCTGACCCCAGGTATACTGGATTTGTTACAAGCTCTTTACTTGTATTTTCTGAAACAAGTGCTGTTACATTTTTTGCTGACATGGGGTATTTTAGAATAGCTACCAGACACTTTCTTTTCTATTATCTATCCTTGTGTGTTTTTGTTAATTCTAGGTTTTTAAGTTTCATCTTCTGTCACATAATCCCAACAATTCTGTCAAAAATCTATTAATATTCTGTATGGCGGTATTGTAGCTCAGATTTATATTCCAGAAAAGTTGCATGTCCACTTGCAGGCTCTAGAAATAGGTTATGAACCTCAATATATTACATTATCATTGTAAAATGTATTCACTCTCCAGCAACCTGAGCATCAAAGGCCATCATTTGGATTTACAGCATCAGCGCTTCTGAAATCCTGTACTTTTGGCATGAGGATTAACTTGGATCAGAATTGTTTCCCAAATTGTGGTTCCAGCTGTCTGTAAGAAAATATGTACTCCAAGTTTTATGAATTTTCTGCATTTTTAATAAAATAAACTCAAAACCAACTGCTAACTGCATTAAATTAATGCCTAATATGAAAAGAGTTGGTAGGCTAAATTTACTGACTTAAAATAGTCTATTATGTATTCCTAGGCTATTACTTAAAGGGTAAATGCACTGCAAACATTTGCTCTATCCTCTTTACTGCTGTGGAATGTTTTTTTGACCTTGTTTTTTTTTGAGAAGAACACCAAAAATAGAACTTTTTATGTGTTGTTTGGTGTTTTAAACTGAATTATTGTAACTTTAAGAATGCATCAGAACTATTTAAAACACCTCAGCCATTGCAAAGGGAATTCAGATGGTGAAAAAATATCACATACCAGATATTTCTATGACAGGCTTCTGGATTCTTTATCTGCCTTCAAAATTATGAAGACTAGTATTCTACAAATGGGAAGAGATTTTTGGAGCACGGTGTTTGAGTTGCTGAAAAAAACATGCAAGCTGATTGAGACGTAGCATCTAGATTTAATTTTTTTTGGAAACACAGTGATAAGTATGTTTGAATTGTTTTCCTGATTCTTAATAGTTTTATTGAACATTAAAAAAAAAAAAAAACAAAAAAAAACCAACCCAAAAAGCCCTACAAAACCAAACCTCTATTGCAAAAGTTATTTCTACTAATATTTTAAAAATTAAGTCTGTTACAGAGTTGATTAGCAGTCATATGAGGGCTAAAGAAATCTTCTCAGATTATTCTTTATGGGTCACAATTATTTTTGACTTACTAGAAAAATTCCAAAAGCTGTAATTATTTTTCTCCCCTTTTTCAAATCGATCACATTACTTTTTGCTATACATTTTGTTTACCATATTGTCTATGTTTGTAAGTGTTGTCTTTGCTTGGAGGATCGAAGAACTTCCTATTGCTTCCTGATCGAGTGTAACACCAAGTACGATGATGGTCTCTGTGACATTAGGCTGAAGATCCTGAGAACACCAAGTCCTTCCTGAAGGTGCTTCAGCTACTCTACAAAATCTATCTGCATTTTGCAGAATTTACCTCTTCTAATATATGCTGATGCGACTCAGCCTGGTATGCTGATACAGTGACAAAACAGGTGTTTCTGTTGGTCTCTGCATAGATTAGATATTGAAGTACACAGAGGTTCCCATTTTGCACCAAAAGTTAGTTTCTTGTTTGATATTTTCCACAGCAAGTCAGATAAGAACCTTACTTAGATTTTCAAGGCTGGCTGCAATCAGAACAGTGATCTATAATGACAGTATAGCTCACTGAAAAGATAAATGATGGTTGTAGATGTACAGACAATCTGTGTTCTTGGAGCGAGGAAGTGAATTAGGCAAATAGTTTAGAAGATCTATAGCAGATTGAGGGAAAGACGTTGTTGAAGGGACTTGGGTCTGTGTAGGAATTTTTTTTTTCGCTGAAGATGAGGTATGTATTTGATTTACTGGATTCTTTAATTCAGTTGACAACTCAGGAACAGTCTGCTTTCTTTAACAAAGCATTTGTAGAATTGCGTAGCTGTAAACTGGGCAAAAACCGATTGTCTTTTGACTAAGTGACCATGAGTGGTCAATTGTAATAAAAATATAGTGAAGCCCATTCATCTAATCATAAATTTTATTTCTGTCTCTCTTGAGAAAAAAGAGGACAGGAGCTGAGACCAATTAGTTTATGCCAACCAGATATACCAAAGATCTTTTTCTTTCTGATTTGTAACACTGACCTTGAAGTAAGACTGTTTTTATCTTTAGGCAGACACTATTTTCTTACCTCGGAAAGGAGCTTCAGATAAATAATGCAAATTGGATGCTTTTATTACCTTCAGTTATTTTGCAGGTCTACTTTGAAAATTGTCTTTATATTTTTCAGCAAAACAATTTTCCTTTTAGAGATAGAACTTACTTGAAAATATTTGTAATACTTTTGTGTTCTTAATCGTGAAACTGATATTGAAACTGATAAGACCTCTTTAGATCCAAATAGCAGTCACTTTTTATTTAGCTAGGAGCTGTCCACTGGAGACCAACTAAGCCAGGGAGTCAGAAAATTTCAGTTGAGACTCATTAGATACAACTACTTTTGCCTTTTTTTGCAAGAAAGTGACTTTTACTCCCCAGTGCTGAGCATTTGAGTGATACATTCACAGCAGAATGCTGGGTAGAATACCAATTGGAAGTGTCCAGAGACTATTTTGAGAAGCTAACAACCCAGAAATATTCTGCTAACCTGCAGCTGGGTATAGTTTGGGACTGTTAGGAAAGACATGCAATGACTGTGATGGTAAGAAAGATACAGATCACTCCATCCATTTGCGCTTAAGATGTCCTGATTTCAGGTTTATTCACAGGTAACCTACCAGGAATATGAGTCATTCCTATGTATTTCTCCTCAAAAGAAATGCTTGGTAGATACATGAAGAAGAAAATTTCTCACAGCCCATGGATTATTCTGTTGTAATAAACTCTGGTAGCCCTGTAATGCAGGAGACAGGTAGCTGGCTTCTGTGAATAAATAAATAGTGTACAGATCCACCTGTTTAATATTTAACAATCTAGAGTATTAGCTGCCATGTACCTTGTGCACCCTGGTTTAGTGGTGTGTGCTTTCTCTTGAATAAGAGATGGTCTGGACATCTAGCTTGTGGGAAGGGAGTTGTGTATTTGATAAAAGCTGAAAAATCCTCAGTGTCTTTTGAATAAGGGCAGTAAGAGGGTTTTTTAATGTTTACCACACATATGAGATGTGTACAACTGACATATCCTTCTCAAGTCTGTTTATCAGAAACTTTTTAAACCAAAGCAGACCATCACTTGGATATGGCCTCACAAGGATCTCTTTTTCAAATACAATGGCAGTTAGAGCTGCAAGAAGTGTGACATCAGAAAACTGACCTGTGATGGAAAAGACCGTGGAAATGCAGTTAGGTTGTGTTTTCTGAGTGTGAAATGGGGGAGATTTTGTTCATACATAGAATCATGGAATCATGGAATGGCTTGAGTTGGAAGGGACCTTAAAGATTTTGTTCCAAGCCTCCTGCTATGGGCAGGGACACCTTCCACTAGACTAGGTTGCTCAGAGCCACATCCAGCCTGACCTTGAACACTTCTGGGGATGGGGTATTCACAGCTTCTCTGGGCAACCTGTTTCAGTGTCTCACCACCCTCACAGGAAAATAATTTCTTCCTAATACATGATCTAGACCTGTCCTCTTTCAGTTTCAAGCAATTCCCCCTTTTCCTGTCACTGCTTGCTCTTGTACGCCTCTGCAGGTTTTTTTTTAGATTCCCATCAGGTACTGGAAAGCTGCAATTAGGTCACCCTGAAGCTTTCTCTTTTCCAGGCTAAACAATCCCAATTTTCGTAGCCTTTCCACCACAGTGGATAAAGTTTGTAGCTGGAGCTATGAAAAGTTTCAAACGTGGAGTTTGTGGTATGCATGTGCCCAAGAGCAGTGAAGCAGGAGACCCTTCAGGAAAATATGTTCTTCTAGATGCACACAGTTACCTCACTGGAAGGGAAGGCCCATATCTCATTTAGGCAGCTCTTGCTCATCATTCTTACCTGTCAGATTCTCCACTGGAAACTTGCAGTGAATGCACCTAGCCAAGCACAGAAATTGTGGTGTTTAAAGATCTAAATAGAAGACATGCAATGCATGATCTGTACTTGAGGATGAAACATTTTCAAGTGGAAAAGAGTGTAGTTTTCCATAGCAGATAATTCAAAATGCAATGAAATATTCTGGTGTTTAAACTGCATGGCAGGTCTTAAGAAGGGATTTTCAAATGTTGTAGGGCTTTGAGAAGAGTGGCTTGCTTAGTTACGGAAGTACAGAGACCTGATAAGAAAAGCACCGAAAGGCACAAAAACTCAAGTAGAATTTTTTGGGCTGTGATTTAAAGAGAATAGAAGCAGATTGTCTTCTTCACTTCTACCATAATCAGAAGGAAACAGTGGTTTGGAGGGCATTTAAGAACCAGACACGATGACCTTTTTCTGAGGTCTGTTCAGTTATCCGTGGGGTTGTAGATCTGAAAGCCGAGTTTTGCTGACCTGCAAGGCATGGTTTGTTCTGCATGCAAAGACTTCAGTTTTGCAAAGCCCTGGTCACTGGTGTTCACAGTCTGTGTTTCTTTGCAGACACTGGAGGTGGTATGATGATAGAATAAACCCTAATATAAAGAATAAACCCTAATATAAAGTAAAACCACATACATGGGTGGTTTAGATTTGTGAAGTAGAAATTTAGAGCTAAAAACAAGCCTTCCAGATAGAACAGAACTGAGCTG